TGTGAGATTTTACCATCTTTTAAAGATTCAATGGTCATTTTTACTCCTTTTTAAATTTGAGTTTACTCTCATTTAAAGTTGAGTATTTCTTCTTTAAATTTGAGTTTGTCCATTGAAGTCTTTTATATTAAATCAAATTTTTTACTCAAATATTAATATAAATTTGAGTAAAAATTTAAGTCACGGTTGGAGATACTGAGCAAATTTTTTGAGTTTCTTTATTCAAATTTAAAATTGAGTTTTAAATTGAATTAAGATTAAAAATGCTCAAACCAAAGATTAGTTCTAGTTGGAATTGAAATAGAGTAGGTAGATAAATTCAATCAGCTATCAACACACGCCACCTCCCAACACACAACCTAAGGGTTAGTAACGTTACATCATGAATCCGAGAAAAATGGTCGGTGGTATCAATAAAAATTAACGTTGATCTAACGTTTGACTGGCGGAGGGATTGCCCTATAAAGTTTTACACTAAACTAAAAGGGTCATTGTATGATTTCATTAACCATAAGGGCGCCTTTGAAATTAATGTGAATCATATGGGGTTTCATTATAATTACCCCATATATCTGGGGTTTCATTAAACGCGTCAACAAAAATGATTATTATTTTCTGCGCAACCCGCGCTGCTCTCTTACATTTGAAATTTAGAACAAGAAAACGTGTGAGGCCCATCGTCACGCTTTCTGCTTATTGGATGGACCCAGCAGATACATCTTCAATGGCAGTCCTAAATTACAATTAATAAGACAAAATAAATAGATCAAATGATAATAGATACGAATTGTAAATTTAAATATTTTGAATTCGAATTTTAATAGTTTTTTGAGCTTACGAGGAATTTGATTTATCCACAATGTGGATGGCCTGTCCTACTGAATCAAAAAGATGATTAGTAAAAGTGCATGTAAGCCGACTTATATGCATTTAATCGTTGAACCAAAAAATAAATAAATAAATAAATTATAAGGATAGATTTGTTTTTTAAATCTAAAATTAAGATTCAATAAAAAAAATTATAGGGATTTTTAAAAAAAAAATCAATAAAAAAAATGCAATTATAAAAGATAAATCATCATTAAAAAGTTAAAGATCAATCTGTACATTTTAGGAGCAATTCCAAACGTAAAGATCAAGTTTTACGTTTCTCACATGATTGAATTATAATATCATTCAACTAGGGGTAATTTGTGACTGATGATACAATGCAATGTGAATAATTTTGATATAAATGTTAATGACAAATGAGTCTATTTGAGACTGTCGAATGAACTTATTGAAATTTGTCATGTTTTATATTATACATTGAATAACAATTTTTGATGTAATTCCAATAGATCATAACCATAGCCTTTCTTAAATTACATTTTTATCCTTATCGAGAGAATTTGTCCTTATGGGGTATTTACAATTGCCATTTTTTTAATTTTTCCTTAAGAATATGTTTAAAATGCCTATTACGAATTCTTGATTACAATTTAAAATTCAAATATTTTCAATCCAAACTTTTATGATATGTTTATTTTTGTTGGATGTTCAGACTAGTTTACGCACACATCAACTAATTCCCTCATCGGTCTAGTCAAAAATAGGTCATTGACGCCGGAACTAGGGTATTTATGAAAGATAAATCCCTCATTATATGATTTCATGAGGTTGCCAATATTCGAATTCAAGATATCTGAGTTTACTACTCATCTCTTATTACCACTTGAACTACCTTAAATTTATGAATAAGAATTACTAATTTTATTATTGCTTGGAATTTAAATAAGTAGGTCTCATAATCAAGGGTAGTTGGTGCAACTAGGTAGGAAGTCCTAATTCAACAATTGAGATTTATACACTATCAATTAAACATTGCAGTCATAAAGGGATCTTACTATCGGTAGTTCCAAATTATTTATGAGCCAATAATTGGGTTGGTATTTTTATTGCTCGGTCGGAATTGGGACAAAAAAAAAAAAAAAACGGATTTAACTCCAACTAAACTCGGTTTGTATAATGTTGTTATTGAAATTTGAGGGTGACACGTGGAGGTGATCTAACGGTCAAGAGAAAGCCAACAAAAGTCCAAAGTCCAAAGGTGATCTAACGGTCAAGAGGTGATTCCTTTGTAGTTGCTGGTGTGAATTGGCTACCAAATGGGAAATTTGGAACCTGTTCACATTAGAGTTGGTCTTTATTTGGACACCTTTCAGGTTACTATGACTCATTCCTTTCTCACCTAACCCTTTATATAACACTTCAACACAAAGATAAACAAAATGTGGTGTTGTAAATTGACCCGATGCACTTCTAAACTGTGAGTTGCTTCTCCCTCACTAAATCTGCAATGTCTTGTTCTTCTCGTCAACATACATTTCGGGTCAGACTCTGATCCGTGTAATCTAAGTTATGATTCCATGAAAGATTTTTGACTTGGATATTGATTTCTCTTTGAAATGTCTAAGACGCAAAAAAATAAAAAATCAAAATCAAAATCAAACATAGAAACTTGTATTCATCCAATAATTATAATGAAGTCTGGTCAACAAATGAGATTAGATTTTTAGATTTACATAGTATTACACAAACTCAAATGATAACACTGTACATTTAAACATAATATAAGAAAAAATTCAAAAAAATTGTAATTTTTTTTTTAAAAAAAAAACTAGTAACACCGTACTCTTAAACATAATATAAAGAAAAAATTCAAAATAATTTTTTTTAAAAAAATAAAAAAAAATTGGTGACACCGTACGCTTAAACATAATATAAGGAAAAAATTCAAAATAAATTTTTTATATGTAAACTCTTAACAAATGAGGGCATTTGTGTTAATTTGCATGTTTGTACCGTCCTTTCATTTAATTCATGAAAATAATATCACCAGATAAGTGGTATTCATTAATACCATGTACAAAACATTAATGGTACTGTTCAAATTGAGTAGGTATTACAATCTAAAAAATAATACTAGCTGTAAAATGTTAAACAAATAAGATATAGGATGGTTTCACGTACTATTATGTAATCTCACTTCCTAATACCACACTTATCCCCAAAACAAACTAGCCCCAATAGTCTTGCACTTGCGCTATCGAGTCACTTGCTCCGCTTCCAAAGAATGACTCGATGGATAGAGTAAAGAAAAGAAAGTGGCTGATGGCGGTGTAGAGCCATAAGGAGAGAAGTTCACACACATTAGCTCATAGAGGACGGGATTACATTCACTTGCTTATCACTCTGCTCTATACTCAAAAAAGTGGATAAGGTGAATCCCACTTGGGTGATTATTTAATTACATGATAAAGTGATTACTATTATATATGAAATTCATTTGCTTATTTGTTATATTTTTATTGAATAGTGACACTATATGAACATGATGACATATTGTTTTTAATATTTTTTCCTTCCGAAGGGAATTGAACATAGTCATAACTTGGATTATGTTTTTTTCAAAAAACACTAGTGGCTTCATGATATTTATCTAGCGCCTTTAATTATTGTTTTTTATTTTTGATTTTTGGGTTTAATGGTTAATGGTGTCAGATTTAATTTATATGCACTTTGATTAATCCCTTCACTGGTTCAGTCAAAAATATATCATCCACATCGAAATTAAGATATTTATGAGAAATAAATTTTTTATGATCTGACTCTAAGTAATTGTTAATATTTAAATTTACAGTTTATCACTGTTATCACTTAAACTATATTAATAAAAAAAAATTCAACCGGAGAATTAAAACAATGCCAGACAATTAAAGCTAAAGATTTTCTAAATTACATAATTTTGAAATTTATAATTACAATGGAAAAGTAAATTTTTCCCTATTTTGTTCTTTATTTTTTGGGTCCCACAAATTTTATTGCTCATAACTGCAACAAAAGATACCGTAGAGAACACGAGTTTTAAGAAAGCCACATTACATTAAAATAAAAAATTAAAAAAGCAAACTAGACAGTAACTCCTTGTAATTACAGTATAAGCAAGGGTTATATGAGTAATTAAAGTACCGAAAGCTCCATTGAAAATATTAGAAAATTCAGAAATGGCTGTGTTCCTATAACTTTCCTAGCAGACCAAAAATCATTATGACTAAAAGGAAATTCATAGGAAGTTTCAGTAATAAGTCGTAAATTTAGATGCATTGGATTTAAATTTTGATAATTTTTTAAAATTTAAAAATTTTATTTTTTATGAATATTATAATTTTTGCATGAATAACATATTTTGGATTTGACCAAAAAAAAAACTTATTTTTGATCGAATCGAGAAAAAATTTAATAGAATTACTTGTAAATTGGCTGTGTGAATATCACTGAAAAAAAAATTTAAAAGAAAATTAATAAAGTGAGAGGACTTCACGTCTCGGTCGTGATCAAGATCTGCCACGTGGCACCTGTTACATGAGGGTCCCACGCTGACGTGGTAAAAGAGCGTGAACTAGAGTTTCTAAAAGGGTTTAGAGGGAGAAGACGGAGACTATAGAAAATTTCAGAGAGAGAAAATTCAGAGAGATATAGAGCGAGAAACAAGGCGCGGAAAGGCCGTCCGAAATTGAGAGAGACAGAGCTGCAATTCTTCTCTTTTGTCGTTGCCTTTCTTACGTTAAACACTCCTCTGTTCTAGGGCAACAAAATCCCAAGAAATTTGAAAAAACAAGGAAAGTTTAATTCAGCGGAGAATACACGGAGTCGCAACGGTCAGATCAGCGAAAATATAAAAAAAATTAGTCAGATCTTGCTGTTCTCATTGCCTAATTGACTGCGATCGATCAGTTCAATTTATAGATTTGTCCATTCACAGCTCCGATCATAATCTGTTTGTGTGAATCTTTGATTTTTTTTTCTCTCTCTTTGTATCATTCTTTAATTTTTGGTGGTGGAATTTTGTGTATATTGAGCTTGGAGATCCTTCTAGGGAGGTCTAGAAGGGTTTGGATCCGCCAGCGATTGATCGGCCGGTTCGAGTCGTCAGGTCTTTCGTCGGATGAGAGAGGCTTATGTTTCAGAAATCATCTGGGAAAACGATGAAATGGGTCACATTGCTTAAAGACTTCAAAGAAAAAGTCGGTCTCTCTCAACCTCCTTCTGCATCATCTTCTCCCTCATCAACTTCCTCCTCCTCTTTGCCGGTTAACAATGCTTCTTCAACCAAACATGACTTCCTGTCATCGCCTTCAAGGTTGGTCATATATATATACCGCTGCTATATAATATCTTAAGATTCCAATCTGTGCCTTGCTGCTACAGTGACCTTTTCTTTGTATTATATCCCTACATGTGTGGCCTGTTGATATGGTTGTTTTCATTTTAAGTTTATTGGATTTTTGATTTTGTGCGCAGATTTTTGCCGTACTTATCTGTTTGATGTAGTCACCAATTGTGAATTTACTGCTTAATAGTGTGTGCTATCTCATAGAATCAACGGCTGCTGGGTTAGATCTCTGGCTGTTTTCAGTAACATATTAGCTTAGGTATTTCCAGGCGATGAACAGATGCTAGAATTAGATCTTTATCTTCAAACTCAAGAGGCTTCAGGGTTGAGGGGCATACTTATGCAGGCTAGTTATATTAACGGTTGTCCGATTGGGAGTTGAAAGGATAAGTTTCTGTTTGCAGCATATTTTTGAAACAGTCTTATTTAAGTACAATGATTATTGGAAAACTATGTGGATTGACAACTGATATGTGGCACTTAGGCGTGCTTATGGTTGAGTAGGTGAAAACAAGTTTAAAGCCATTCTAACGTGGTCACTGGTTCCATATTGTAGTTAGTATCATGATGCTTTATCTGTACCAATAACATTACATTGATCGTTTGGTATAAGCTGGGGAGTGGTTAGGGATCAATGTGTTACCACAGGACCATAGCAAAATAGGATGTCTAGATAGATTACTGGAAATAGAAGAATGATAACAGTTGGAAGCAATTTCTTGTGAAAGGGCAGAATCGTAAGTAGTGGAATCAATGTGTTCCACGATCAGAAAATAGCAGACTAGGTATTTTATTTTTATATATTATGATTGTGAATATAAGAGTTCACTTTTTTATGTACTGTGTACTAGTTAAACTGCTGAGGATTAATGCTGTGGTTAGAATGGAATTCAAAAGAAAACTGGCCGGAATTTTAGGGAAATTTTGAAGGGNAACCTCCTTCTGCATCATCTTCTCCCTCATCAACTTCCTCCTCCTCTTTGCCGGTTAACAATGCTTCTTCAACCAAACATGACTTCCTGTCATCGCCTTCAAGGTTGGTCATATATATATACCGCTGCTATATAATATCTTAAGATTCCAATCTGTGCCTTGCTACTACAGTGACCTTTTCTTTGTATTATATCCCTACATGTGTGGCCTGTTGATATGGTTGTTTTCATTTTAAGTTTATTGGAATTTTGATTTTGTGCGCAGATTTTTGCCGTACTTATCTGTTTGATGTAGTCACCAATTGTGAATTTACTGCTTAATAGTGTGTGCTATCTCATAGAATCAACGGCTGCTGGGTTAGATCTCTGGCTGTTTTCANTTTCCTATGTTAAAAAGATTTGACGGCTAATGGCTTTTCTTTGCCCATGCAGGAGAAAGAAAAGGCCTTGAACTTGACTGTAGATGTTTTCTGTAAATTAGTGAAGCAGCATGCTAATGTAGCTCAGTTAATTACCATGTATGAATACAGCTCTCCTTTGGCTAACTTGTCACTTGATTTTTTAAGTTCTCCTGAACTCAATTGTTAGAACTTTTTTCTCGCTGTAAATGTGTTTTTTTGTGGACTAAGTGACTTGTTGAGAGAAACGGATACATATTTAATTAGGACATATGCTAACCTCCTCTGTCGCTCTCTCTCTACCCTGAAAATCACATGGTGCTGCAAACACAGATAAATATTTCTTTTAATAAGCATTTGTTAGTTTTAATCTAAGAAGCATAGACATGGGACATAGATACAATATGACACGGGCACGCAGACACTACATTTTTTGAAAAAAGTAGGATACGGATACGTTGAGAATATATTACATATAATTGTGTTTTATATATAAAATTATATAATTTATCACAAATGTAGTGATAATGGTTTATTATTCATAAAAAAATCAATATTTTTATGATAAGTAAATGTTATCTCTAGTCATTTAGTGTGAATATTTAGACTAGCATCATAATAATTAATAGTTATCAATTTTTTCGTAGATTTGAACTATACATATATAATTTAAATGATTGCTCTCATCTCAAGTNGTGGCACTTAGGCGTGCTTATGGTTGAGTAGGTGAAAACAAGTTTAAAGCCATTCTAACGTGGTCACTGGTTCCATATTGTAGTTAGTATCATGATGCTTTATCTGTACCAATAACATTACATTGATCGTTTGGTATAAGCTGGGGAGTGGTTAGGGATCAATGTGTTACCACAGGACCATAGCAAAATAGGATGTCTAGATAGATTACTGGAAATAGAAGAATGATAACAGTTGGAAGCAATTTCTTGTGAAAGGGCAGAATCGTAAGTAGTGGAATCAATGTGTTCCACGATCAAAAAATAGCAGACTAGGTATTTTATTTTTATATATTATGATTGTGAATATAAGAGTTCACTTTTTTATGTACTGTGTACTAGTTAAACTGCTGAGGATTAATGCTTTGGTTAGAATGGAATTCAAAAGACAACTGGCCGGAATTTTAGGGAAATTTTGAAGGGTAAAGGTTCTAAGGCTGAAATTGGTGGGCTAAATTAGGGTTAGGGTTTTTGATTGATTTGAAGTTTTGGGAGAGAATATAGGCTTCTTTAAAAGCTGCCTGTGAACTTTCTGATAATCAATCATGCACAACAGAGGTACAAATGAGAAAATTAAAACAAAAGAGATGATAAATGGTGAATCCAAGTCGCTTTAGGGTTCTCACCAAGAATTGCTGTCACCATAAAGTTGTTCAGAATTTGCAGAGTCTTCTATAGATTAGTCTAGTTGGATTATCTGTACGTGTATTGATCATATTGTATGGGAGTCAAGAAGTAAACCATGCACTTTGTAATTTTGAATCTCTTATTTGTTACTTGATAATAATGAACATTCAGTGCTGAAACATTGTTGTGCTGAAGACATGAGCGACTAAACTTGTAGCTTAATAATTTAAGTTTGAATTTCTTAGTTCAAATTGTATATCTATGCCTGATAAAAAAAAAATTGTATATTTATGCGTATACAAACACATGTGCACATGTATAACCATCAAATTATGGAGTAGAGGGATTGAGAAGCTTCCCCTTCCTATTTGCTTAATTCTGCTATTGTTGACTTATTGAATTGAAAGCAACACTTCCTTTAATTTTTTTCACATTATTCATATAACCACTCCCGCAAACTTCCTACTCCTTGAGCCTCTCACTTTCATTACTCTTTTAACTTGTCATCTCTACCTAGCAATAGAGAAAGGAGAGGGGGGAGATGTAAAAAAATTACCAACTTAATATTTAGCCCACGTATAATATTTGTATATTTATTAAAATTCTCTTTTGTAGCGGAAGGATGGGTTGCTAGTGTAGACGATTTTGAAGAAATAATCGGCGGACATGTATGGTTAGGTTCCATTTGTATACTTGGTGGTATCTGACATATCTTAACCACACCCTTCACATGGGCTTCATGCTCTATTTTTTTTTAATAATCTAATTTTCTTGAAAGACAAGAAATGTCATAAAGATTAGTCTCGGTATAAAAGATATAATATTCCATCAAATTCACTATTTTTCTAGGCTTTGTCTTTCAAGAGTTTGTCATCTAGTTGATGCATGCAATGAGAATGACATCTTGCTGTAATTTTCAGTTGACCAAAACATTTGACCCCACAAAATCTTTTGCTATGATATTTGTGCATCAAATAACATCTGTAGCTGATTATTTTTGTTTTTTGGGGTATTGATAAAAGCCTCTACAATGTTTGATGACATATAACTCAGCACGTAACAATTTTGCTTTTTGGTACTTATCGTCGTTGTTTATCTATATTTCCTTGCATATGCCTATAAGATAAGTGTGAATTAGTTTACTCGCTCCGGGTTTATATCTTTGCTTGTGTGTGGGCATATTGTCAATTGCAACTACAGAGTTATTTGATTGCAAGTAGTGGGTAGAGTCTTGATCAAGCCTGCTCATGCGGGACACTAGGGAGGCTCAGTAACATATATGCTTTGGAAAATGGATGGGAACATAGAAGTGATTGGGGTTGAGATAAAAATTATAGCGTTTTGCCACACAAAAGTATCTAGATTTGTCAGCAAGTTCAAAGGAACTAATAATTATCAGTGAAAAGCTCTCTTACTGTGATAAATGTTATCTGTTTCACCACGTAAAACATTTTCTTATATGTGATTTAGTGTGAGGTGTTATCATGACAATAACAGGAGTGATGTCAATTAATTTGTATGCCAGGATTGTTGAGATCCCATTGATATCTCAGTATTGATTTGATATATTTTTCTCCGATTAGCCTGTTCATATACTCCATTGTATATTTGTATGGGTTTTCTTCTCTTATCCTCCCCTCTTCTTATAGTAGAGACAAACATGAACTGGAATTGGACTTCAAGAGATACTGGGAAGAGTTCCGTTCATCAAGTTCTGAAAAGGTTAGGACATGTGAATTATGTCAATTGTCTTTCTTTCCTGTTTCCTATGTTAAAAAGATTTGACGGCTAATGGCTTTTCTTTGCCCATGCAGGAGAAAGAAAAGGCCTTGAACTTGACTGTAGATGTTTTCTGTAAATTAGTGAAGCAGCATGCTAATGTAGCTCAGTTAATTACCATGTATGAAGACAGCTCTCCTTTGGCTAACTTGTCACTTGATTTTTTAAGTTCTCCTGAACTCAATTGTTAGAACTTTTTTCTCGCTGTAAATGTGTTTTTATGTGGACTAAGTGACTTGTTGAGAGAAACGGATACATATTTAATTAGGACATATGCTAACCTCCCCTGTCGCTCTCTCTCTGCCCTGAAAATCACATGGTGCTGCAAACACAGATAAATATTTCTTTTAATAAGCACTTGTTAGCTTTAATCAAAGAAGCATAGACACGGGACATAGATACAATATGACACGGGCACGCAGACACTACATTTTTTGAAAAAAGTAGGATACGGATACGTTGAGAATATATTACATATAATTGTGTTTTATATATAAAATTATATAATTTATCACAAATGTAGTGATAATGGTTTATTATTCATAAAAAAATCAATATTTTTATGATAAGTAAATGTTATCTCTAGTCATTTAGTGTGAATATTTAGACTAGCATCATAATAATTAATAGTTATCAATTTTTTCGTAGATTTGAACTATACATATATAATTTAAATGATTGCTCTCATCTCAAGTGCTCTTTTCTAAATGTTTTATATATCTTTTGCTTTTGTTATTATATTTTGAGTATAATTTTAACATGTTTAGTCTTGATAATTATATTTCCTCTCATAGTATAAGGTAGTTTAGTAGTAGACACGATTTAAAGAAGTGTTGGACACGTGTCCAAAATTAAAATTTTAGCATTTAATTATGAACACGGATAAACGAGTATTGGACATGTGTCCGAGGAGTGTCAGTGTCCGACACGGATAGTGTTCATGCTTCATAGACTTTTAATGAATAAATGGTGAATCTGAAAATAGAGAATGCAAGAATTTCTTCAATTCCAAATGAGGTTTTACAGAAACACACACCCCTACTCGGGATAAGGCTGAATTAAGTTGAATATCCAACATAGTACCAAGTTGATTTCTAGAAAGTAATTTAACTCCTTGAACATTAAATACTCATGCAGTATTTGAACGTTAGTAGGAAAATACTACTACAATTACTCTGATATGCAATGTGGTAGACTTTACAGCTTATATGGGTACAAACAAAAGTAATATGAAAGCAGCGTGCTCACTTGTAGCATGCAGATTCAGCATAATGCATGAAACACAGCTCTTTTGGCATATGGCATGGCTGTCAGTTACATTTTTTGCCGGACTGTTGTGGTCATCAATGCAATGTGTTTGCTATGCCTCACAGCTCCATGTCAATTGGAGCAAGATACCTTTCCATCTCTTTTTGGTTTTGAGCACTCCTAACTGTTGGTATAGTTTTGCACCATTGGCGTTCTTGTAATTTTCAGTGTGAGGTTCCTTAGAAATAGTTAGGAAACTTTTGACATTTTCAAGTATCATTAAAATCACTGGCATAAGAAAGTAAGGTATTCTTATGTCATGTCTTTAAAGGTTTGGAACCCCGTTAACAATGTATCCTCATACTGGTCATATCTGGACATTATGAAACATTAATTTAGGAATAAGTCAGCTGAAGTCAAATTTTGATGTTAACTAGTTCTTCAATTTCATGAGTTGATCAGTTGCAAAGCAGGTCATTTGTGCGTTCCAACTTCTTAGACTGTTTCACTGGAAGCTCTGAGTCAATATCTTCCATAACCTTTCACCATGATCAATTGTAGTATCCTTCTTTTTATACCTGGTTCTTGTATCATTGAAGAGTCTAAAAACAAGAAAAGGAAGCGCCTCACAGTCATGATTACCCCAAGGATTTGGTTGGTTTGTCTCACCTATACATATATATAAAAGCATTATCTTTTGTTTGGGTGTAGTATACCTTCAATTTTCTTATGAGCTATACATATTATTATGCTTCAACACGTGTAAAATATTTTGTAGGTGGTTGTTCTAGTTGGTATGCTACTTGGCTTTCAGCATTGCCACTTGGGTTCTTGAGCTGCACACTACTTTTTCTTTTTCTCCCTCATAGATTCCAAGTGACACAGAAAGATTTTCAGAGATGTGATACCTCATGCTAAAAACCTTTCTGAAAGACCTACCGCAGGAACACATAGTGGGAGCTAGCTTTCCTCTTTGATTTTGTATGGATAATTTCTTTGTCAGAGAATTTGATTGCTGTGATCTATGCATGTATCATTCTCATGAGACTTTCGTGACTTCTACTTTTGTTTATGAATTGTGGCCTTCACCTTGGATGACTTGTGTTGGAATTGGAGCTGATTTTTTATAATTCATCGAATCCTTTAGAAAAATAGCCTCTATGTTTCTTTTCCTCAGAATTATTTTTAGTAGTCTCAGGTGAGCATATATTGAGCAGCTTCTAAATTGTTGTTGATCTACAGGTTAGTAGAAACACACATATTTTCTTTTGTTGTGGGAAGAGCATTTGTAACGGATATTGAAAAATTGAAAATTAGCAGCAAAACAAGATCTTTGGAAGTTGAGAGAGTATTAAGCTTTTTTTCGGAAATTACAAAGGTTTGCATTTAGATGCTAATATCTAAAATTTTTCTTCTCTGTCTTTCCCCTTTTAAATTCTCCTTTTCCAGTGGTGAATGTTATATATAAGTATTTACTAAGTAATATTCATTCGTGCTTCTCCACAGGATGGCATCAAGCCTGGTTCAAATTTATTAGATGCAGTGGAAGTCCTTGTATCTGGGGTACATCTGTAAACTTTATTTCTTTTTCCAATTTTTTTGTAGTCTGGCTTTCTGACTCATAGTTTACTTTAGTTTCGAAGCAATCTTCACAAGTTTAGGTTTTCTTTATTCTCTAGCCTCTTAAAAAATTTTAACGCTGTTGTCAAAAAATTTGTTAAAGGCGAGACCACTCAAGTATCTATATTCCTTTGAAATTTAGATTGCATTGTTGTTGAGTGCATGCAGTGACCTAATGTTGTTATTTTTTGAATTATGGATACAAAAACTCGCATGCCTGGACGTTAGCATCTTTCAGTTTTCTAATCACTACTGGCATATAATGTTTGCAGCCTATTGATAAACAATCTCTCCTTGATTCTGGGATCTTATGCTGTCTCATTCTTATCCTCAACACTCTTTTGGGTCCTGATGTGGGCAATAAAGGGAAAAAAGTTACTACTTATGAGGACACGATACCAGAGGATAGAAATTTTGATGGTGATTTAGGACCAGTCCGCCGGCTTGAGGTTGCTTTCTTTCTTTATGTTACATTCTATGTATTAGCTAAACTTGTTTCTTTCAGCACATAGGTTTTCCGCATAATTGTTACTATGTTGGTAGATCTAGACCCTGATTATAGCATCTTTTAGGCAAAAGCCTTTTCACATATACCCCTGTTCGGTTCAAATATTTCTTATCCTTTGGGGCATCTTGCCACTTTTTTAAGTTATGATGGGGAGAAGTCATGCTTATATGTCATATTACTACGTATTTTAACTTGGTCTAACTTTGGTTTGGGCAAGTGATGATACGTACACTGCTACATCCTTGTAGTGGATCATATAACAAGGCAATGGCACTTGATAATAGCAAAAAAATAAAAGGCAATGGCACCTGTGTGCGGAACTTGGCCTAGATATTAGTTGCTTAGCATGTTGATCCTAGTTACATCCGTCTAATATCCATGGCCAACTTGTACAAGAATTGTTTGGCTATTCTGAGTATGATCTGAACATCAATTATTGAAACTTAATTCCTTAGTACCAAGGTCATTGACTCATTAATGTCTTCACTTGCTGATGTAGGTCGTATTAAGAAAGAATTAGGGATGAGAAGGGAAAAATAAGAGGATGAGAAAAGAAGAAGAAGGTTTGAGAAAAGAGAGAATTTGAGGAAGAAAGATTCAATATCAATAATTAATAATAATCAAAGTCTAGTCTCCCAACAAATATGTATCCCCTATAAATATAAGAGTTCACAAATCCTATATATATAAGGAGATCACAAACCTTAAAATAAATAAATAATCAAAATGACAACTAAACCCTTAAAAGTTAAAAGAAATTATTTAAACGATAAATATTAAAAATATCTAAATAACTGTCATAATTAATCTATAATGTCTATCCAATTCTTACACGATCCCCATCATTCTCCTCCGGTTGAAAAAAATCTCTTCCGAAGAGTTTTCAAAGTAGAAGTACCCTAAGAGAGCAGGACGAAGATGATATAATATCTCATCTAAAATGAAAGAACCATCAATATCTTTCCATTGATCAGAATAAATGCAAAAATCTCTATCTGTAACAATATAAATCTGGTCACATAACACATCATCCATTTGCCCAAAAATACGCGATGGAAGTGTAAAGATAAGAGTTGGAGCAAATGCTGAGGAAGAAGCAATTTCACCTATAGAAACACCTGATAACAAAATAAGAGGCTCTGGAGTACCTCGATTAAGTAGCATGTCCTCTAAATAAAAAATTTGGACTAATACTAACATTCCATGAAAAATTAAACAAATAAGTATTAGATCCAAACTTGAGAATAGAAAAACAATTCTCATTAGGTTTCAACAAAAAGTATTCAATGGGACAAGATATCGATGACAAAGGAGTAACATTGACGTCTTGGTGCTGAAAATAATTAAGTACCAACTCAAGTAAAATTTTAATAGTAGGAATAAAGTCAACTATTTCAGAGGGGAAAGACTTGGGAACAAAGTAAGCTTGACTTGAAATAGGAAATACAAAACAATCACCAAAAGATTCTAAAATAGGTAACTCAATGTTCTTGACATCTTTCATAAGTGTGGACTTGACAGACTTTTCAACAAGTTCCATTACAAGTGGTGACTCAACATTTGACTCTGACAAAGACTTAAACTCATTTTCTTTAGGTATTAACTTTTGTTGGTATAAAGGAGGTGAGATCTAATACCAAATTAATGTAGATCGTATTAAGAAAGAATTAGGAATGAGAAGGGAAGAAGAATGAGATGAAAAAAGAAGAAGAAGGGGATGAGAAAAGAGAGAATTTGAGGAAGAAGGATTCAATATCAATAATCAATAATAATCAAAATCTAGTCTCCCAACAAATATGTATCTCCTATATATATAAAGAGTTCACAAATCCTATATATATAAGGAGATCACAAACCCTAAAATAAATAAATAATCAAAATGACAACTAAACCCTTAAAAGTTAAAAGAAATTACTTAAACGATAAATATTAAAAGTATCTAAATAACTGTCATAGTTAATCTATAATATCTATCAATTCCTACACGATCTCTATCATTTGCTTATGTGGAAAACTGCCATTGCCGAATTAAATTGTTCAGGTGGCATTTGTTTTGTGTTTTACATCAGTTTTTTCATGCCAACTACTTGTCCTATGTTTGCCTTCTCTTCCTGTGGCTATGCGACTGAACACGCATTAGGCCATGAAATGATTTTGGAAAGCTAATTACTCAATATGATAGCATGGTCAGGCAGTTAAGGATATGGTTACTGACGACATTGTTTTTCAAAATTTGCTTATAGTTGTTTCCTTCATGCAGGTGGAGGGAAGTGTTGTGCATATTATGAAAGCATTAGCAAACCATCCTTCTGCTGCGCAAAGTTTGATCGAGGACAATTCACTTCAGTTGCTCTTTCAGATGGTTGCCAATGGGTCTTCGATTGTTTTTTCTCAGTACAAGGAAGATCTTGTTCCCTTACACACCATTCAGCTTCATAGACATGCAATGCAGGTAATCCTCTTGTTGCATGCGATCAGCTACACCTGCATTCTGAGAGCTGTGAATTTTATATTTTTCTAAGTTAAGTACACTCTGAATATCTATGCATCACCATGGTGTGATTGTTGGGTTTTATTCTTCTAATATTCACTTTTGTTCCAGATACTTGGTCTTCTTTTGGTTAATGACAATGGAAGCACAGCCAACTACATACACAAGCATCATCTGGTATGCCATTGCATTGAACTGTTCCTTTTAATCCCCCCCTCCCCCATCTTCTTTTTTCCTTTCTTCATAATTGAAGTGGACGTCGTGTACCAGAAATTTATCTCTAGCATTGTGGACACGTGTTATAATTTGTCTCTACTCTCAACAATTTGTATTTCAGCTGGAAATTGTTACCTTTTCACAAGTGTTCTGTTTTAATTTTGACTTAACTTGCCATTTGTGGTTTTGCTTTTAAAGGCTATTCAAAGGATGAAACTTTTGGGTGCCTGGAGGTGATGACATGCTCAAATAGGAATTGGGATTTTGCCTATTAGTCCTTTTGGTGAACTAACCTGAATACTTATATCGCAAATTCTCTTCTCCCCCCCCCTCCTAAAAATGGTTTCACAAAACGTATGCTTTGCACAGTGGTTGTCCAGACTTTTTGGCTGTATTGTGCCATCTATGGTGAAGTGTTTGAAATATGAGCCTCAAGTCTCGTGGAATAGCTGTAAGTGCTCTTATTCTCCTTGAGCCCATGCCACAAAGTGTAGAACCCGTATGTGCATGCCTGGCTCATGCCCCATGCTTTGTTGACGTACGTATCAGCGCGTATCAACCGAAGTTTGGATTTTGACATATTATGCATAACATGAACCTTGATACAGCGAATAGAAACTGACCAACAATATTTCCATTTGAAGAGGGTATATCACCAAGACTGCATTATCCTTGTTCTCCAAAACCCTAATCCAAGATCTACCTTTAAAAGGTTGTCGGTTAGAAGGTTGCACTAGAAATCTCTCATCAGTTCATGTTATTTAATGAGCGAAAAAGTGGAATTGGTAGGATAAACATTGGTTAGTATATTTTTTGGCTCTTGAGAGAAACACAGTGATCTGTGTTCGTTGGAGGAAACCTCAGCAGTTTCAGGGAAAGTGAAGCTCAGGATGGTTATTATTTAATCATTTGCATTTTGCTGAGATACTTCCTGCTTGCCTGCTGAAGAGATGGAAGTGGTTCGTTTTCACTTTATGGAATTCTTGTTTTATTTTTCTCTTCCCGAAGTATTTCTATTTCTGCTGAAAGGGAAGTATTTATATGAACCTCCGATCTGTTTCAATTTACTCTGGCTGCCCAATGTCCTAAAGTTGGCCGTTGCCTTTTTCTCTGGTCTACGAACTTAAGCAGTCATTTCTATTTGACGAGACCCTTGGAAACTTTGACCATGTTTATGTATAGGTCCTTATATTGTGAGCCAGTCACTTATTTCAAGTTGTTGGCTTGGTTGAATTGAATGTTTCTGATGGAGCCAAATTGAACATTTCTTTGAGGGCTTACGATTTTTGCTTCCTTTTGTTTGTTCCTGTATTGATGGTAATGATTTTAACATAATATCTCTTGACATTTGGTAAAATGTTTGCTGATTTTGGTTCCTTTGTTTTTTCCTGTGTTGATGCTGATAATTTTAGCATAAAATCTCTTGTCATTTGGTAAAATTTGGCTCACCATAGTTGCTTATGAGTTCGCATTTTTCAACTTAGCCAGCCTGTTTAAATATGCATGTAGATGTTGTAAGTTACGGATTTGGCATAAATCATGTAAAGGAGTATCATGGCATGGTTTACTGANCCCCATCATTCTCCTCCGGTTGAAAAAAATCTCTTCCGAAGAGTTTTTAAAGTAGAAGTACCCTAAGAGAACAGGACGAAGATGATATAATATCTCATCTAAAATGAAAGAACCATCAATATCTTTCCATTGATCAGAATAAATGCAAAAATCTCTATCTGTAACAATATAAATCTGGTCACATAACACATCATCCATTTGCCCAAAAATACGCGATGGAAGTGTAAAGATAAGAGTTGGAGCAAATGCTGAGGAAGAAGCAATTTCACCTNGATCCTGTTAACTTTTATTTTTCTTGTCTTGATGTGTTTTTATTATTCCTGCAGCTGCATATTTTAGGAAATGACTTCGAGTATATTGATGGGTTGAGATTTAAAAATTTGATTCTTGTTTTGAGTAGCCTTTTTTGGCTTTCATTTAATGGTGCCAGCNGATCCTGTTAACTTTTATTTTTCTTGTCTTGATGTGTTTTTATTATTCCTGCAGCTACATATTTTAGGAAATGACTTCGAGTATATTGATGGGTTGAGATTTAAAAAATTGATTCTTGTTTTGAGTAGCCTTTTTTGGCTTTCATTTAATGGTGCCATCNACCTGATAACAAAATAAGAGGCTCTGGAGTACCTCGATTAAGTAGCATGTCCTCTAAATAAAAAATTTGGACTAATACTAACATTCCATGAAAAATTAAACAAATAAGTATTAGATCCAAACTTGAGAATAGAAAAACAATTCTCATTAGGTTTCAACAAAAAGTATTCAATGGGACAAGATATCGATGACAAAGGAGTAACATTGACGTCTTGGTGCTGAAAATAATTAAGTACCAACTCAAGTAAAATTTTAATAGTAGGAATAAAGTCAACTATTTCAGAGGGGAAAGACTTGGGAACAAAGTAAGCTTGACTTGAAATAGGAAATACAAAACAATCACCAAAAGATTCTAAAATAGGTAACTCAATGTTCTTGACATCTTTCATAAGTGTGGACTTGACAGACTTTTCAACAAGTTCCATTACAAGTGGTGACTCAACATTTGACTCTGACAAAGACTTAAACTCATTTTCTTTAGGTATTAACTTTTGTTGGTATAAAGGAGGTGAGATCTAATACCAAATTAATGTAGATCGTATTAAGAAAGAATTAGGAATGAGAAGGGAAGAAGAATGAGATGAAAAAAGAAGAAGAAGGGGATGAGAAAAGAGAGAATTTGAGGAAGAAGGATTCAATATCAATAATCAATAATAATCAAAATCTAGTCTCCCAACAAATATGTATCTCCTATATATATAAAGAGTTCACAAATCCTATATATAAGGAGATCACAAACCCTAAAATAAATAAATAATCAAAATGACAACTAAACCCTTAAAAGTTAAAAGAAATTACTTAAACGATAAATATTAAAAGTATCTAAATAACTGTCATAGTTAATCTATAATATCTATCAATTCCTACACGATCTCTATCATTTGCTTATGTGGAAAACTGCCATTGCCGAATTAAATTGTTCAGGTGGCATTTGTTTTGTGTTTTACATCAGTTTTTTCATGCCAACTACTTGTCCTATGTTTGCCTTCTCTTCCTGTGGCTATGCGACTGAACACGCATTAGGCCATGAAATGATTTTGGAAAGCTAATTACTCAATATGATAGCATGGTCAGGCAGTTAAGGATATGGTTACTGACGACATTGTTTTTCAAAATTTGCTTATAGTTGTTTCCTTCATGCAGGTGGAGGGAAGTGTTGTGCATATTATGAAAGCATTAGCAAACCATCCTTCTGCTGCGCAAAGTTTGATCGAGGACAATTCACTTCAGTTGCTCTTTCAGATGGTTGCCAATGGGTCTTCGATTGTTTTTTCTCAGTACAAGGAAGATCTTGTTCCCTTACACACCATTCAGCTTCATAGACATGCAATGCAGGTAATCCTCTTGTTGCATGCGATCAGCTACACCTGCATTCTGAGAGCTGTGAATTTTATATTTTTCTAAGTTAAGTACACTCTGAATATCTATGCATCACCATGGTGTGATTGTTGGGTTTTATTCTTCTAATATTCACTTTTGTTCCAGATACTTGGTCTTCTTTTGGTTAATGACAATGGAAGCACAGCCAACTACATACACAAGCATCATCTGGTATGCCATTGCATTGAACTGTTCCTTTTAATCCCCCCCTCCCCCATCTTCTTTTTTCCTTTCTTCATAATTGAAGTGGACGTCGTGTACCAGAAATTTATCTCTAGCATTGTGGACACGTGTTATAATTTGTCTGGACTCTCAACAATTTGTATTTCAGCTGGAAATTGTTACCTTTTCACAAGTGTTCTGTTTTAATTTTGACTTAACTTGCCATTTGTGGTTTTGCTTTTAAAGGCTGTTCAAAGGATGAAACTTTTGGGTGCCTGGAGGTGATGACATGCTCAAATAAGAATTGGGATTTTGCCTATTAGTCCTTTTGGTGAACTAACCTGAATACTTATATCGCAAATTCTCTTCTCCCCCCCCCCCCTAAAAATGGTTTCACAAAACGTATGCTTTGCACAGTGGTTGTCCAGACTTTTTGGCTGTATTGTGCCATCTATGGTGAAGTGTTTGAAATATGAGCCTCAAGTCTCGTGGAATAGCTGTAAGTACTCTTATTCTCCTTGAGCCCATGCCACAAAGTGTAGAACCCGTATGTGCATGCCTGGCTCATGCCCCATGCTTTGTCGACGTACGTATCAGCGCGTATCAACCGAAGTTTGGATTTTGAAACCTTGATACAGCGAATAGAAACTGACCAACAATATTTCCATTTGAAGAGGGTATATCACCAAGACTGCATTATCCTTGTTCTCCAAAACCCTAATCCAAGATCTACCTTTAAAAGGTTGTCGGTTAGAAGGTTGCACTAGAAATCTCTCATCAGTTCATGTTATCTAATGAGCGAAAAAGTGGAATTGGTAGGATAAACATTGGTTAGTATATTTTTTGGCTCTTGAGAGAAACACAGTGATCTGTGTTCGTTGGAGGAAACCTCAGCAGTTTCAGGGAAAGTGAAGCTCAGGATGGTTATTATTTAATCATTTGCATTTTGCTGAGATACTTCCTGCTTGCCTGCTGAAGAGATGGAAGTGGTTCGTTTTCACTTTATGGAATTCTTGTTTTATTTTTCTCTTCCCGAAGTATTTCTATTTCTGCTGAAAGGGAAGTATTTATATGAACCTCCGATCTGTTTCAATTTACTCTGGCTGCCCAATGTCCTAAAGTTGGCCGTTGCCTTTTTCTTTGGTCTACGAACTTAAGCAGTCATTTCTATTTGACGAGACCCTTGGAAACTTTGACCATGTTTATGTATAGGTCCTTATATTGTGAGCCAGTCACTTATTTCAAGTTGTTGGCTTGGTTGAATTGAATGTTTCTGATGGAGCCAAATTGAACATTTCTTTGAGGGCTTACGATTTTTGCTTCCTTTTGTTTGTTCCTGTATTGATGGTAATGATTTTAACATAATATCTCTTGACATTTGGTAAAATGTTTGCTGATTTTGGTTCCTTTGTTTTTTCCTGTGTTGATGCTGATAAGTTTAGCATAAAATCTGTTGTCATTTGGTAAAATTTGGCTCACCATAGTTGCTTATGAGTTCGCATTTTTCAACTTAGCCAGCCTGTTTAAATATGCATGTAGATGTTGTAAGTTACGGATTTGGCATAAATCATGTAAAGGAGTATCATGGCATGGTTTACTGATCCTGTTAACTTTTATTTTTCTTGTCTTGATGTGTTTTTATTATTCCTGCAGCTGCATATTTTAGGAAATGACTTCGAGTATATTGATGGGTTGAGATTTAAAAATTTGATTCTTGTTTTGAGTAGCCTTTTTTGGCTTTCATTTAATGGTGCCAGCAGTTGTCCTGCACTGCTAGACATGATTGCAATACTTTAGCAGAGTTCTCTGTTGTTGTTGATAACCAAATCATTGTTAAAATAAATTACTGTCGAGGATCCGATTTCTTATGTTTTTGCTACTGGAGAGGGTTATACATGAGAACTTTTTTATGATCAGATAGAATTCCATATTGATACTTCAAATAGCATATTAATGACTGACAAGTTTTTTTGTCAGTTGTTATACCTGAACTTTGATGCATCTATCCGTCTCATTGGTCTAGTTTGACTTGGCTAATGTGACCCACTTCTTATCATTCCCGCGTGCAGATTAAAGTACTTTTAATGGCTGTCAAAGATTTCAATCCTGATTGTGGAGACCCTGCCTACACCGTGGGCATTGTGGACTTGTTACTTGAGTGTGTGGAGTTGTCATATAGACCTGGTAATTGAGGCATTCTCTTCTCTTCTTGACTTGAAGATAGCTGGACCTAGGTTCTGTTTGTCGTCTTTAGCTCTTCTAATGTGCCATAATTGTGGAAGTCCTGGATTTTGAAATTAGCTAGCTCTTCATGTCACTTTCCTAGCTGCTTGGGTTCTCTGAGTTTTAGGTGACTTATACTAATCTTCTTTGAATTTTTGTTATTGATGCTTATTCAAGAAAACTTTCAATTGTAGAGGCTGGTGGTATCAGGCTGAGAGAGGATATCCACAATGCTCATGGATATCAGTTTCTTATTCAGTTTGCCTTAAGTCTTTCCAAAAGTCAAACTATTCAGGCTATCTGTTCTGATTCCTTGTTGGACCAGAATTCTGCTTCAAACAGTTTGCATGCACTTAATGATGTTGGAAGACAAGATGCAAAGGGAGAGGGAGGGGACAACTCACCACAAAATCTCTCGCCCACACTCTCTAGGTTGCTCGATGTTCTCGTCAATCTTGCTCAAACAGGCCCAGCTGATACTGTAGGTTCAGCTGGCTCCAAAGGTTCCAAAAGTTCTCATCCCAATCCTAGTGGCCATGACAGAAGTCGTACATTGTCTTCTGACCAGATAGCTGATGAATTTTGGGAGAAGGGCAATACTAAAGTTAAAGACCTAGAAGCTGTCCAAATGTTGCAGGACATTTTTCTCAAAGCAGACAGCAGGGAATTGCAGGCGGAAGTACTCAATAGAATGTTTAAGATTTTCTCAAGTCATCTTGAGAACTACAAGTTATGTCAGCAGCTGCGGACAGTGCCCCTCTTGATCCTCAATATGGCTGGTTTCCCTCCATCTTTGCAAGAGATAATCTTGAAAATTCTTGAGTATGCAGTGACTGTTGTGAATTGCATACCTGAACAAGAATTGCTTTCACTTTGCTGCTTGTTGCAGCAACCAATTACATCTGAATTAAAGCACACCATTTTGTCTTTCTTTGTGAAACTGTTATCGTTTGATCAACAATACAAGAAAGTGCTGCGAGAAGTTGGTGTTCTGGAGGTTTTATTAGATGATCTGAAGCAACACAAGTTTCTTTCAGGCCCAGATCAGCACCATGGTGACCCTAATCAGTTGGAGAGGAAATCCAGCTCAATCAGCTTCAAGAAACACTTGGACAGTAAAGATGCAATTCTTTCTTCACCCAAACTGTTGGAATCAGGTTCTGGGAAGTTTCCTCTTTTTGAAGTTGAGGAGACAATAGTTGTTTCGTGGGATTGTATGGTCTCCTTATTGAAGAAAGCAGAAGTGAATCAAGTGTCATTCCGCTCTGCAAATGGTGTAGCAATTGTTCTTCCTTTTCTGGTACCTGATATTCACCGTCCTGGGGTACTTCGGGTGTTGTCATGTCTAATTATAGAGGATGCTGCCCAGGTTTGCAAGCTTCTTTCTACTGTGATGCTGTTTGATAGTATTAAACTCAATTATTTCTTATTGTAGGGTGCTTCCTTCGTTCATCATAAAGCTTAGAAGATCCTTGTTGCTTCTGAATTATTGTCATTGACTTTTTGCTGGATTGGATTTGATGTAATCAATTCCATAGAAAAGTGAGGAGAACTTTTAGGCAGTGGGAAGTATTTATTTCTGAAAAAGGATAATGAAAAACAGGATTCAAGAGTTTGGGTTAACATGCCATACTAGGTGGGGGTGTTTGGTGTGACTTTCAAGAGGGGTTCAAATCTACGTGAAGTTGGCAGGGTTGGGTTTGATGTAATTTCTAGTTGTCAGCATGATAACTTGCCCGATGTGTTTATTAAAGGATTAATCTCAATTGCCTGAACTCAACCTATCTGGCCCATGTATTATATGAGTCATGTTTGATTGAATTTAGACACAATTTTGTTTATCATCTGATTAACACAAATCTATATAATATAAGGTAGGAATAAACAATGCATCTCGTAGGCCTATTATATGATTATGTGACACAATCAACACCTAATACAACCTATTTGTATTTTGCTTGTGTAATTGTGTCACCAAATTTTCAGGTCATTATAGTGGTTGAACTTTCAGCATGATTATGATTTGTGAAACAGATTGTGTGCTACCTTTGAGTGCTCATCACCGAGCCTTTCTCACGATATAATCACCGCCTCTATTCATGCATAATTGCAGTTTTTTGTATACTCATGCAAGATATTTCAGATATATTTGCTGTTTCTTTTTTCATTTTAACTTTGAACAGAGTGACCACTAATTTTATTTTATTTTTTGTTTTTTTAACAGACCCATTCAGAGGAATTGAGTGCACTTGTAGAAATTCTGAAAAGTGGGATGGTTACAAGTGTTACGGGATCTCAATATAGACTTCAAGATGATGCCAAATGTGACACTTTAGGAGTCTTATGGCGCATTCTTGGGGTTAACAATTCAGCTCAGAGGATCTTTGGTGAGGCCACAGGGTTTTCCCTTCTGCTGACTATGCTTCATAGTTTTCAGAGTGATGGAGGGTGCACAAATCAATCTTCTCCGATGTCTTACATTAAGGTGTTTACGTATCTGTTGCGTGTAATGACAGCTGGGGTTTGTGGTAATGTTGGTAATAGGACAAAGTTGCATGCAATCATATCTTCCCATACCTTTTACGATCTTCTGTCTGAATCTGGCCTTATTAGTGTTGAGTGTGAAAGGCAAGTCATACAATTGTTGTTGGAACTTGCCCTTGAGATTGTGCTTCCACCATTCTTCTCAGAAACTGATGCATCGTCTCAGATTATGGATAATGGGTCAACCAGTTTTCTTCTGATTGCACCATCAGGTTCTCTTGTTCCTGACAAGGAACGGGTGTATAATGCTGGTGCAGTTAGAGTACTTATACGTTCATTGTTGCTTTTTACACCAAAAGTGCAGTTAGAAGTGCTCAACCTTATTGAAAAACTTGCTCGTGCTGGTCCCTTTAATCTGGAAAACCTGACATCTATAGGTGCGAAAGAGATCATTTTTCTTTTCATTCTATTGGTAGGTATTAGCTTTCTTACTGTTTGCTTGCATATTACTAGGTTGTGTGGAACTTTTACTGGAGACAATATACCCTTTCCTTGCGGGTTCAACCCCATTGCTCTTCCATGCCTTGAAGATTGTGGAAGTTCTTGGGGCTTATAGGTATCAATTGTTGTTAAGTCCACATATTTATTAATTTGTTAATCTGTTTGCAATTTGTTTAGATGTGTTTAATTTGGAAACGAACTACTCACTTTTGTGGTCAGGTTGTCAGCAGCAGAACTTAGAGTGCTAGTTAGATATATTCTGCAAATGAGATTGATGAATTCAGGTCGTATTCTTGTTGATATGATGGAGAAATTAATTCTCAAGGAAGATATGGCTTCAGAAAATATTTCTCTGGCCCCATTTGTGGAGATGGACATGAGCAAGATTGGGCATGCTTCTCTTCAAGTGTCACTCGGTGATAGATCGTGGCCTCCTGCTGCTGGTTATTCTTTCGTTTGTTGGTTTCAATACCGAAATCTTTTGAAATCTCAAGCGAATGTAACAGAAGGTACCAAGGCTGGACTTCCTAAAAGGCAGAGTGCTAGTAATGGGCAACATGGGGCAAATGTTCTCCGTATATTTTCTGTTGGGGCAGTAGAAAATGGAAACACCTTTTATGCTGAACTTTGCCTTCAGGAAGACGGCGTTCTTGCTCTTGCAACCAGCAACTCTAGCTCCTTGTCATTTTCAGGGTTAGAAATGGTGGAAGGCAGGTGGCATCACCTTGCAGTTGTCCATAGCAAACCAAATGCTTTGGCTGGATTATTCCAAGCTAGCGTGGCGTATGTCTATCTCAATGGAAAGCTAAAACACACTGGGAAGTTAGGATATTCTCTTTCTCCAGCAGGGAAGTCTCTGCAGGTAACCATAGGGACACCAGTCACTTGTGCAAGGGTTAGTGATTTATCGTGGAAACTTCGTAGCTGCTATCTTTTTGAAGAGGTGCTCACACCAGGTTCTATTTGTTTCATGTACATACTCGGTAGAGGATACAGGGGGCTCTTCCAAGACACAGATCTTTTGAGATTTGTTCCTAACCAGGCTTGCGGTGGGGGTAGTATGGCCATCTTAGATTCTTTAGATACTGACTTGCCTTTGGCTTCAAATATGCAAAAGCCTGAGACTGGTAGCAAGCAAGGGAGCTCTAAGGCAGATCGTAGTGGAATTGTTTGGGATTTGGAAAGACTTGGAAACCTTTCACTACAACTCTCTGGAAAGAAGCTCATATTTGCATTTGATGGAACATGTACAGATGCTTTTCGAGCTACTGGAACTTTGTCTATGCTCAATCTTGTTGATCCAATGTCAGCTGCTGCTTCTCCTATTGGGGGTGTGTTACTAAATCCCTTGACTTTATGTCTGACTTGTGATCTTTCAACGTTCTTCACAAATTTGTAGGTTTAGATGTGCCGACTCTAGCATCAGGGCCTACATTTATGTGTCAACTCTATCTATAACTCTTCTTCTTTTCCTTCCCCCTTCTTTTTGTTTTTATGTCTTAATTGCGNTCAACGTTCTTCACAAATTTGTAGGTTTAGATGTGCCGACTCTAGCATCAGGGCCTGCATTTATGTGTCAACTCTATCTATAACTCTTCTTCTTTTCCTTCCCCCTTCTTTTTGTTTTTATGTCTTAATTGTGAGCTTATAGAGTTATATAAACCACATCAGTCATATTTAGACTCAAACTTGGTTTTGGGTTCCTCCAGGTATACCACGCTTTGGACGTCTTCTTGGAGATATCTATGTATGCAAGCAATGTGTGATTGGTGATAGCATCCGCGCAGTTGGTGGGATGGCTGTTGTCCTAGCTCTTGTTGAAGCTGCTGAAACCAGGGATATGCTGCAAATGGCCTTGACATTGCTTGCATGTGTACTTCATCAGAATCCGCAGAATGTGAGAGATATGCAAACATGCAGAGGATACCATTTGCTTGCTATCTTTCTGCATCGCAGAATGTCATTGTTTGACATGCAATCACTTGAGATTTTTTTCCAGATTGCTGCGTGTGAGGCTTCTTTTTCTGAACCTAAGAAACTGGAACATAGTCGGAGCACTCCGTCCCCTGCTGTAGCTATGCATGAAGCCAGCTTCGAGGATCTTAATTTGTCAAAGTTCCAAGACGAATTCTCTTCAGTCGGATCTCATGGAGACATGGATGATTTTTCTGCACAAAAAGATTCCTTTAGTCATATTTCAGAGCTTGAAAATACTGACACGCTAACTGAAACATCAAATTGCATCGTCCTGTCAAATGCTGATATGGTTGAGCATGTCTTGTTGGACTGGACCTTATGGGTAATGGCACCAATTCCAATTCAAATTGCTCTACTGGGCTTTCTTGAGCATTTGGTCTCCATGCATTGGTACAGGAATCATAACCTTACTATTTTGCGCCGAATTAACCTGGTTCAACATTTACTAGTAACTCTGCAGAGGGGAGATGTTGAAGTTCCTGTTTTGGAAAAATTGGTTGTGCTGCTAGGAGTCATCTTAGAAGATGGGTTTCTTGCTTCTGAACTAGAACATGTGGTTAGGTTTGTGATTATGACCTTTCATCCACCTGAATTGACATCGCGTCATGAAATTATGAGAGAATCCATGGGGAAGCATGTTATTGTAAGGAATATGTTGCTTGAGATGCTAATTGATCTGCAAGTGACCATTAAAGCAGACGATTTGCTTGAGCAGTGGCATAAAATTGTCTCATCCAAATTGATAACTTATTTTCTTGATGAAGCTGTTCATCCCACTAGTATGAGATGGGTCATGACTCTGCTTGGCGTGTGTCTTGCCTCTTCTCCTACATTCACTCTTAAATTTAAAACCAGTGGAGGTTATCAAGGTTTGGCTCGGGTGCTTCCAAGTTTTTATGATTCCCCCGATATATATTATATTCTGTTTTGCCTGATATTTGGAAAGCCTGTTTATCCAAGATTACCTGAAGTTCGTATGCTAGACTTTCATGCCATTATCCCAAGTGATGGAAATTATGGAGAGTTGAAATTTGTAGAACTGTTGGATTCTGTGATTGCTATGGCTAAATCTACATTTGATAGGTTGTGCATGCAGTCATTGCTTGCCCATCAGTCAGGCAACCTTTCCCACGATGGTGTTGGCCTTGTGGCAGAGCTTGTGGAAGGAAATACAGACTTGGCTGGAGAGCTTCAGGGTGAAGCTCTGATGCACAAAACATATGCTGCTCGCCTAATGGGTGGAGAGGCTTCAGCTCCTGCTGCTGCAACTTCAGTCCTCAGATTCATGGTTGATCTTGCAAAAATGTGCCCTCCTTTCTCTGCTGTTTGCAGACGAGCTGAATTTCTTGAGAGCTGTATTGACCTTTATTTTTCCTGTGTTAGGTCTGTTTTTCTGGTCTATATGCTTTTTTCACTTTTTTATTCCTTTTATAGGAACGATTGGCGAGGTTTAGTTATCTGTCCAAGTTTTAAATAATTTCTGCTCTTAATCTTAATTCTCTGAAGTTTACTCGACTGGTTTTTGTGTCATGCAGGGCTGCTCATGCGGTAAAGATGGCAAAAGAACTCTCTGTGAAAACAGAAGACAAGAACTCAGATGATTGCGATGATACCAGCAGCTCGCAGAATACATTCTCGAGCTTGCCCCATGAACAGGAACAGTCTGTCAAAACCTCCATTAGTATGGGGAGCTTCCCTCAAGGACAGGTGAGTACAAGTTCTGAAGATATGCCGGCTGCCTTAAGTGAAATGGATGGTAATAAAGCAGAGCGAAGAATTACTACATCCCAGCAGGAAGCAAACAAATCATTGCAAGATGGCACACAAGCTGTTCGAAGTTTGGTTGTTGAAGCAGTCGACCCGGTGTCCACTGCCACATCCAGCAGTAATGAGTTCAGTTTCCGTGATATCAAAGGCACGCTGGACACNCAAGTTCTGAAGATATGCCGGCTGCCTTAAGTGAAATGGATGGTAATAAAGCAGAGAGAAGAATTACTACATCCCAGCAGGAAGCAAACAAATCATTGCAAGATAGCACACAAGCTGTTCGAAGTTTGGTTGTTGAAGCAGTCGACCAGGTGTCCACTGCCACATCCAGCAGTAATGAGTTCAGTTTCCGTGACATCAAAGGCACGCTGGACCCTGTTCAACATGCGGATTCACAAAGTTCTGCGTCCTTAACCATATTTGATTCTCCCCTTTTGTCTGAAAGATCTAGTTCCAGGGTCCAACTCACACCTTCTTCATCTCCAGTTTTAGCATTGACATCTTGGTTTGGTGGTGGCAGTCATAACGAATCAAAAGCTCAATTAGCTGCCTCTCCTTCCATGGAGTCTTCGTTATCTAGGAGTGAATTTGATTCGTCTTCAGACTTGAAGTCCAATTTTCAAGGATCATATGCTGCAAACACATTTTTTGCGGTTAATCCAATGCTACTTCTTGATTTGGATGATTATGGCTACGGGGGTGGTCCTTGTTCTGCAGGAGCTACTGCTATTTTAGATTTTATGGCAGAAGTTCTTTCTGACATTTTAACTGAGCAGATGAAAGCAGCATTGGTCATAGAGAGTATTTTGGAAAGTGTTCCTTTGTACCTTGATTCTGAATCTGTGTTAGTTTTTCAAGGTTTGTGTCTTAGTAGATTGATGAACTTTCTTGAAAGGCGTCTCTTGCGTGATGATGAGGAAAATGAGAAAAAGCTAGATAAGAGCCGCTGGTCTGCAAACTTGGATGCATTGTCCTGGATGGTCGTAGATCGTGTATATATGGGTGCCTTTCCTCAGCCTGCTGGTGTGATGAAGACTCTGGAGTTCTTGTTGTCTATATTGCAGTTGGCAAACAAAGATGGTCGGATTGAAGAAGCAGCTCCCACTGGAAAAGGGCTCCTATCTATAGGAAGAGGAAGCAGGCAACTTGATGCTTATATACATGCACTTCTTAAAAATATGAATAGAATGATATTGTATTGTTTCCTCCCGTCATTCTTGAGGAATATAGGAGAAGATGATCTTCTTTCACGCTTAGGTTTGCAAATTGAACCGAAGAAGAGGTGGTCGTCGAGCACCTCACAAGAAGATACGGGGATAGATATATGTACGGTTTTACAATTACTAGTAGCTCATAGGCGAATAATATTCTGCCCGAGCAATCTTGATACGGATCTAAACTGCTGTCTTTGCATAAATTTAATCTCTCTTCTCCGTGATCAGAGACGAAACACTCAGAACATGGCAGCTGAGGTTATCAAGTATCTTCTGGTGCATCGCAGGGCTGCATTAGAAGACTTTCTTGTCTCTAAACCAAACCAAGGCGTGCATCTGGATGTTCTACATGGTGGTTTTGACAAACTTCTGACTCATAGTTTATCTGCTTTTTTTGAGTGGCTTCATAGTTGTGAACAGGTTGTCAATAAAGTACTGGAACAGTGTGCTGCCATTATGTGGGTGCAGTATATTGGTGGGTCAGCGAAGTTTCCTGGAGTTAGAATAAAGGGAATGGATAGTCGCCGTAAGAGAGAAATGGGGAGAAAATCACGCGACACTTCAAAGTTAGACCAAAGACACTGGGAGCAAGTTAATGAACGAAGAATTGCCCTTGAATTGGTTCGTGATGCTATGTCTACTGAACTGAGAGTAGTTCGTCAAGATAAGTATGGATGGGTACTCCATGCTGAAAGTGAGTGGCAAGCACATCTCCAACAACTTGTACATGAGCGTGGTATATTCCCATTGAGTAGATCCTCCGTGAGTGAAGATCCGGAATGGCAGCTTTGCCCCATCGAAGGCCCTTATAGAACGCGAAAAAAGCTTGATCGGTGCAAACTGAAGATTGATACAATCCAAAATGTTTTGAATGGCGATTTTGAATTAGGGGAAATTGGGTTGTTAAAAGAGAAAAATGAGAATGATCTCGGTGCTTCTGATGCTGAGTCTGATTATTTTTACAATCTTCTGACTGAGAATGCGAAACAGGATTCCTTTGATGGTGAGCTGTATGATGAAACTATTTTCAAAGAATCAGATGATGTCCAAGATGCAGCCTCTAGTAGGACTGGTTGGAATGATGACAGGGATAGCAGTATAAATGACGCAAGTCTTCACTCTGCTGCTGAATTTGGTGTGAAGTCCAGTGCAGTACCCATTTCAAAAGCAGAAAGCATACAAGGAAAATCTGATCTAGGATCTCCGAGGCAGTCTTCTTCAGTGAAAATTGACGAGGTGAAAGTGATAGAGGATAAAATGGATAAGGAACTGAATGATAATGGTGAATACTTAATTAGACCTTACCTGGAGCCTTTTGAAAAGATAAAGCATAAATATAACTGTGAAAGAGTGGTAGGTCTTGATAAGCATGATGGTATATTTTTTATTGGAGAGCTTTCTTTGTATGTTATCGAGAACTTCTACATTGATGATTCTGGGTGCATATGTGAAAAGGAATGTGAAGATGAGCTCTCTATTATTGATCAGGCTTTGGGTGTAAAGAAAGATTTGTCTTGCAGTATGGATTCCCATTCTAAGTCAACTTCATCCTGGGGTGCGACGGTTAAGGCATACGTTGGGGGAAGGGCTTGGGCCTATAATGGGGGTGCATGGGGGAAGGAAAAGGTGTGCACTAGTGGTAATGTTCCCCATCTTTGGCATATGTGGAAGCTTAACAGTGTTCATGAGATTTTGAAGCGTGATTACCAGTTACGTCCTGTTGCAATTGAGATATTTAGCATGGATGGATGTAATGATCTCCTGGTTTTCCACAAGAGAGAGAGAGAAGAAGTTTTCCGAAATTTGGTGGCTATGAATCTGCCAAGAAATAGCATGTATGTCATTTACTTCCCATTGGCTCCATTCTTCTATTGCTAATTTTCCATATACTTTGTTGTGTTTCTTATCTAACTGATTTTAATTATAAGTCGTGCCATTTTAAATATGTGCCCTAAATGTTGGGGTGTTTGGATTGCACATCTTAATTGATGTCACATTGTTGTTTGGTGTCTGCACCTTGTATTTTTTTCCAAATATGTACTCCTCTGTGCCATACTGTGCCAGTGTGCCTTGTATTTGGGGTAATAAATATTAAAATTGATGGCTGCGTATCTTATTCCTGAATAATAATAATTATTAGGTTCCTGCAGCATTGTGGAACTTGAACGATACAGCTGTGAAATTTTATTTTAAGCTATCAGGAAATAATTTTTTCTAATATTGTTTGTGCTGCTCCACGACCATTCATGGTATTAAATTTTTATAATTTATTCTATATGACCAGCACTGAAAGTACAATGCACGTGACAACATTTTCTTGTAATAAAAGCAACAATTATATTATATCTATTACTAACATAAAAGAACAAAATTTCAAAATTTAATACTGCACTACATGGATAGGTACAACGTCATCCTTCCTCACTGGTGTAGCATTAGGTTTTATGTAAACATGTCAAACCACTTAAGTTGATTACCTTATTAATTAATTTAGTGCTATTTCAAAGGATTCAAGAATACATTCAATTCTAATTCTTTCATTTCTAGTTTTGCTACCCGTCTATATTATTTGAACTGCAGTTGGTTTTTGAATGAGTTGTGTGTCTTAGTTGCCAAACATTTTGTACCATAAAGAATTGCTACCATAATGGCCGTCACCAGATGCATTACTCTACTTGATCCATTGTAGTTCAATCTTAAGTGTAGAATTGTCTCCAATCTCTCCTTGTGGATAGGCGACCCATAATAGAAGTGTTTGCTCTTTCAAATCTCTAGGTCTTCGATCTTTATTACTTCACTATATACATTTCTCCTTTTACGATAATTACATTACGTATATTCAGTTTACTTCACGCATGCACATA